CCTGGAAAATATACATTGTTGTTCTCATATGACCCAGGTTAGAGTCAGATATTAGAAAAAATTATATTTTGTGTATATTTTATTAAAATGTTGTGCTTTATCCATAGGACCTGTTTTGTCCCTATTCTCAGGAATCACTGAAATACATATCATCTCATTAGCCAGTCAGACGGTTAGCAGATAAAGAGCTGAGGAATCATAATGCTCCAACTGATGGTAGTTTTTAGTCTTTGCATATTAAGAGAGCACAGTCTCTTGTTTATCGTTGTTTTAGCTTTTTCTTTATTAGTTCCTGTAAAATACTTTGGTAAACTTTTTTCTACCAATGATACAAGCTAATAAAATGATTTCTGACATATGATAAATTATGATTAATCTGAACTCAGGACCTTTAGTTCCTAAACATCATTCATCAATCAAAGTAATAGTTCTGGATGAAGATTGCATTGAGGCCTCTGTAGACGGGGGAGAAGTTATAAATCAGAGCTCTGTCTTCTTCAGCAGCGTTGGAGAAACGGTGCTGGCTCTTCAAGGCTGAAGAAAGACGTAGAGGGAAGAAAATAAAAATAAAAACCTAAAAATGTTTGAACAAGGTTGCAGGTTTTATGCATTACCTTCAGAGACGAAGAAGCTTCCAGTGTAGAAGCTGATTCTGACGGCAGAGACAGTGTGAACCATGCCTGGCTTATCTATCCACTCAAACGGACTCTTTTCAGGATGCCACTGGACAGCGTAGAACGGGTAGCGGTAAGCTAACCAAACCAGAAACACTGTTAGCACACGCTATGGGCATTGCTGTTTCATTTAATCTGATTAATACGGTCAAAGTAAATATGCTGACAGTACAACCGAGTATTAGGGCTACGCTAAGAAAATAAAAAAATAAAAATAAAATGACGACAATACAGTCACAGTATTATGAGAAAAAAGCCCTACCAGAAAAAACTCATAGTATTATGACTAATACTACACAATATTACATAATACTATTCTCGTATGGCTTTTCTTATTGTGTAGCACTATGAGAAAAATAGTCTCTTTATACTATGATTTTACTCTCATATGAGCATATTCTTGTAATACATGTAATATAATATATACATTCTTGTAATACATATGCAAGAATACATATATTCTTGTATACATGTATACAAGAATATATAAATATAAAATTACAACTATAATCAGAATTATAGTTGTAATTTTATTTTTTGCATTTGCAATTTTTTTGCAACTTTCTGCAGAAGTTGTACACATTATTGTGGGATGTTGGTGCCATCTAGTGGACACCAAGTGGTTGTTGAATGGTGAACATACTGTACATTATATACTTTGAATTCAGTCCCAGTGTTAAAACACATTGGAGTAACTTAGAGAAAAGTTATCAAGTGGGATGTGCCTCATAAAAGCAGCTTAAACAGACAAAGAACGCTACCTTCCATGGTGGAGATGAATTCTTTCTCTCCATCGCTGTTGGTGGACAACACTCTGTAGAACCTCTTCAGTTTGGCATTTCGGGTGTAGTTCTGTAGATTCAGGCACAAATTTAACACTGACTTAGTTGTGTTGGTTGTTCTATGTGACAAGTGGACAGCAAAAATCTCAGAGTGTCAGGAGAACCACGCTTTCCAATGCCCACTGAACACCTCACAATGAGAAGCAGGTCTCGGGTAATAAAATGCATGTAGTGTGTTCATAAATGTTTACCACACTTTGTGCATTTTGAGGTTATTATCATCGTAAGAAAGATGCCTCAATAGCAGCAGAAGAATTAAAGACATCTCAAATTTATGGTGGAATTAAGAGACTGAAAACAAAAACGTCATGAAATGTCATCTGAATAAAACATTGGTGTGGAGACGCGGCGTGGGTTCAAGCCCCACCCAGGCCTTTAAAGCTCACGTCAGTCAGATTCACCTCGGTGGAAGGCATGTGTGGTAAAACAGTTTACAGATGTTTCAGTTTTAGCCTCACAGGCTGTGGATTAAATAGTCGACTGTTTTTGCAAACGGCTGGCATAACTAAAGATCTCCAGCTTTCACCTGAGGGGGAGGAGAAACATCAAAAAAAGCAGCAAATACCTGTATGGAAAGACTCCAGCTGTGGAAGTTGGAGGTGATGTTTTCATTAGCCAGAGACTGCAGCACATCCCTGGGAAAACTCCTGAACAAGCGGCTGGACTGGGCCGCTGCAGGACAGAGACAGAGGAAACGTTCTTTAATCTGTACGAATGAAGGTGAAATGAAACATCATGTTTCAGTGGAATAAAGCCAGCCTAGAGGCGTAGCTGAGCTAAAGATGCTTCTTTGATGGAGCAAAGTGTGCCTGTCTGTGTCTGCAGAAGGACGACGTCCGGATTGGATTCTGGTCTGAGGACATTTTGAATTAAACCAACATATTTAGAAAACTGCATTGACTTATAGCACAATCTAAAATATTAAGAACCTTTTCACATTTTATCAAGTTACAACCACAAACATCAGTGTATTTAAACATGATTTAAATGACAGACTATTACAAAGTAGTTCATAATTGTAGTGGAGGTTTTTCTTTAAAAGAAAATCTGAAAAGCAGGTAATTAAAGCAATAATCTTAGCCCACTTAGGGCAGTGGTTCTTAATTCCTCTCCTGTTTTAAGGGTTTCACCCTTGCCACACACCAGAGTATAACTGAATGGGTGATTAAGAGGCTCCTGCAGCTCTTGATGGCAGCTGAGCAGGTAATGCAATCAGCTGAATCAGGTTTGCTGAGCAGAGACATAAAGGACAGGAGACCTCAGACCAGGACTGAGGACACCCAGCCTACATACAGAGCAGCGGCCCTCACACACGGCACTGTGCACTTTAATGTCCTTATCCCAGCACACACACACACACACACACACACACACACGTTTGTGTTGCTATCTTTGTGGGGACTTTCCATTGACTTCCATTCATTTCCTCAGCCTAAACCTGACCTTTACCCTTTTCCTACCCCTAACCATCACATCCCTAACCCTAACCAACCAAAACTCAATTCATACCTTAGCCCTAAATCTGACCCCTGACCCAAAAACAGGGTTTCCCCTTGTGTAAAATCAGCAGAACCCCACATTTTTTCATGCTAATCCATCATGGTGAGCTTATCGCAAATTTTCCATAAAAATGGTCAAAAACATATATAAACATATTTATTGGATCTTTTGTCTTAAGTCGCTTAAATTAGCAGTTTAAGTGACTGTCAATTCTCACCTGCAGGTGGCAGTAGTTCTTACCTTACTCGATGTCAAGTTAGCGTTTGTGATCATTATGACGAGTAACAAAAACTGAGTGATTTAAGTTCTTCAAAGAATAAAATGTTTGCATGTAGATTTTGAAAGGGGTTAAAAAACTAACGCAAAATGCTTCTTAAATATTTCTAAAGTAGAACCACAAAATCAGTCATTTTGACTGCAAATTATCACAAAAACGATCAGGAAATCCTGGAGGGACTGAAATAGAGACAAGAATTATACCAGGTGTGAGGATGAGTGGCAGAGCCACGGCCTTGGTTTTGGTGAGAGTGAGCAGGTTCTTTCTGGCGGTGAGAACGGAGAGTTGCTGGAAGCCCTGGCACGTCCCCCAGATGGGGAAGTAATCCCCTGCATCATTGGCCTAAAGTAGGTCAGGAAGTAAGGAATTACTAGATAACATTTATAGATGATGTGTAAAGATTTTTCTTCTGCTCTATCCTGCAGCCAAGCAGGGATCACATTTCAGAGGATATCCTGAGGAGTTACTGGAGCTCAGCAGTCAGACTTCATGTCAGACTTCATACCTTCAAAGCCAAGTTGTAAAAGATCCTGGCAGCTCGACTGAACTGGGATGTCTGAATGTCTACGTCTCCCCCTGGCAGCAGCAACCTGAAGGGACAGGAATATGATAAATGTAGACAAAAACTGAGATTTGACAGAAAAAATAAGTTATTGAAATCCATAGTGTAATGGTGAATGATTATGTCTTTCAGTGCATTTAGTCTCTATGGTTTTAAACTTTATGCTACCTCTAGTGGTAGTAGTGGGAACTGCAAGAACTCAACAGTTAACACACTAAATCAATGAAGTCTGCACACTCTTTAAAGATAATGAGTCTTATTTAGAGCCAGAACGCATTCTCCTAACTAAAGTCTGAAGAAAGGTCTTTGTTGACTTCAAGCAACATTATGGTAAACCTGCTAATACATGTGACTCCACTGACTCTTCAGTGACTCTTCAGTGATTCTCACTCATCTGCAGCTGAGCTGCAGCATGGAGGAAGAGAGGAAGACGTTTTATGCACATTTATGAGCCTAACTCCACCTTCTTTTTCATATGAAATCGTTCTCATTTCATGAATAAACAATCTGAAAAAACTAAACATTTCCTATGTATATATATATATATATATATATATATATATATATATATATATATATATATATATATATATATATAGTAAGGGCATATGGAAGAATACTCACCCATTTATTGAGTTGAATATCTTGATATATTCTTCTTCTGTGCGATTGATCCTGCAGAACAAAAAATACATATACAGACAGATAAAATCACTAAGAAGTTTGTTTTTTTATTTATTTTGTACTATGAGCAAAAAGACAAACTAATCACACTGAAATACTAAAAACTGGAAAAGTATTGGTGAGTCATTTCAAATGTGAATAATAATTTTTAAACTTTTAAAGTTACATCTTAGCACTATGTTCTTTGACAAATGACCCAGAGTATCTTGTTGTGTTTGATTTGAAGTGATGGAGCACAGCAGCTGCCCTCCTGCTGTGACTCAGAGTGAAGGAGTCACAGTCCTGCATCAGAAAACCGCTGTGCTAAAACTTTAAAAAGAAACCATTCATTGCTTCTACACGTAGTCTGATTCATCAGCAAATAGTTGACAACAGCATTTCTTCAAAACCGTCCATGCTCTTAAGGTTACCATGGTAATCATGACTGATGGTAAGTCAACCAGTATGTACAGGTGAGTGGAGTTTTTAACAGAGCAAGATGGAGTCAGTGCACATAATAAAGTCTGCAGTAACAGTGGTTGATGAAGACTTGACAGCAATCAGATAAATGTAATAAAATAAAATACAGAGGAATGTGATGCTGTACCTGATTGGTGCGACCCTGGCTCCAGCACTCTCCAGGAATTTGACGTAGGAGGCAGCAATGTAAGAAGACCCTCGAGCAAACTGGTCATCAGACAGATTTTCTTGCGCTAACACACCTAATGTCAGAAGATGACACAGAATTACTGATATTTCACAAGTCAGAAAAGTGTTTATATCTATTGCATCATGATTGCATTAGAGAAACACAACACAACTGTGTGACATTAAGAGATGAGTTACTGGAACACAAAGGTGTTTAAACATCTCTGAACATTGTGCCTTTATAAAGTCTACAAAGTTTGCTGTTCAACTAAAACCCAAACAAAGCAAATTACTTAAAATATCTGTAAAATATATATATTTTTCCCTTTTATATGTCATATTTAGTGAGTTTCTTAACATGTAGACCTTTAATGAAACTTTGGTCTAATCTAGTTCATCTTCATTTCAGTTCTATTTCAACACTTCAATTTTGTTCAGGTTTTTTGTGAAATGCATCCTTTTTCACTCATTATATATTCAAAACTAAGCTCTAAGAACAAAACTATCATCCATAACTCAATGTATTTTCATTTATCTGTTGAGCGTATGATTTGGAGGGCGGTGTTATGTAACACACCAACCAAAAAGCATGCGGTGTCCTAACCCCCTCAGCTGTTCAACGTGACGTAATGAGAGCTGCAGACGACTCCAGAGGATTGGTACCAACAGCAGCTCTTAACTGAATACTTGGCATACAGCGACTGGTCAGCCATCACATCCAGTGATGGATATTTATTGGATCTTTTGTCTTGTCCCCCCTCTCTTTTCTCTCCCCTGTCATACACTGACATGTTCAGCTGCAGAAGTGAAAAAGGACACACTGATTAAAACACTTTTAATAAGATTACTTTGAAGGAGGAAGGAGGTCTAACTCATCTTCTTGTTTTCCTGTCTGCTTGTCCCTTTCTGCAGTGAGTCCTCTGTCTCCATCTAACCTTTTCGTTCACAGCTTCACACCAGCTGCCTTCATGTCCTCTTTCACTCCATCCATAAATCTCTTTGGTTTTCCTCTAAGTCTCTGACCTGGCAGTTTCTTCCTTAAAATCCTTTTACCAATGGACTCACTATCCGTCCCCTAACATGTCCAACACATCTCACTCTGGCTTCTCTGGCTTTATCTCCAACACATGAGCTGTTCCTCTGATGCATTCATACTGGATCTCATCCCTGCTTGTCACTCCCAAAGAAAACCTCAACATCTTCCTCTGTGCTGCCTCCAGCTCTGCCTGCTGTCTCCTCATCATTACCACTGTCTCCAAACCAAACGGCATCACTGCTCTCAACAATGTCTTGCACACCTTTCCTTTGATTCTCGTTGATATGCTTTGGTCACATCTGACACTTTTCTCTTCTGTCACTCCTACAGCACACCTTACCACAGTCTTACGGCTCCCATCCATCTCCTGCACTTCTGTGCTACTCCAGACGTCCTCATACAGTACAGAACCATACCCTGCCATAATCTTTCTCTAGATCTATAAAAACATGACATTATCTATTAACATTCTCAATGCAACAGCTGCACATGGCATGAAACCAAACTGCTGTTCACTTCTGGCCTCAGTCAACAAGTCTAACAAGTCTAGTCATCTAACAGACATGAAAAGACACATAAAGCAGTCCACAGCATGACTTGCAGAAATATGACACTTCTACAGTTTGTCTTTCTGTGAGTGATGCTCACACACCTCTAACCACAATGACTGGATGTTTTACTCAACTCTGCAAAGTCTTTCTGCACCTCTCTGACCAAAGATGCCTTCCTTAACCCTGAAGCTTTGTGATGAAATAAGCCATATTTTTAATTAACCCTGACCATAAGAAAAACAGACAAGCTCCAAAGGTTGTTACTTGAGCTTATAAGAGCTTCTGCAAAAGAGAGACTTTCTAAAGTTTCAGTTTCAGTATTTACCTTACATTTTAAGATTTTGTCTAAAATGTTACTCTTGAATGTGTTTGTTGCTAATCAAACTTGAGTTGGTTCATTCAGGAAGTACTACTGATAAAATGCAGAATTATTATACTATCATGTTTTTTCTCCTTTTTTAAAGCTCACCAGTACTCCAGCCACACACGGGGTTTGCACAGTCTCCATTGCTCCCCCACACTCAGACACCTTTTTCTCGAACATTCCCGAAATATTACATAAGAGCTACGATAATCCGATGAGCACCCTGCAGGCGCTTTTTGGAGGACAATAAATGACGCTCATGTTTTACCGATGATGGGTCGGTCATTGTGCTGCTGGCTCCTGGCCGCGGCGCAGAGGAGCGGCCCGCAGAGCAGAAAGGCGGTCAGCACCGAGAACCCCGCTGCAGCTGGCCCACGCATGGCTCCAAAGTCTGCAAAAAAAAAAAAAAAAAAAAAAAAAAACGGATATGAAGGAAGGACGCTGAGCTCACAGACTGACGGAGGCAGGAATAATTACGGTATTTAGAAATACCTAAGTCCGGATGAAATGCAGAGATGCTTCGTCCTGGTGATGATGCTGATGCGGACTGACCGAGAGCTGGGTCTGACTGCTGCCGCTGTCCGTACCTCTGTCAGCGTCACCGCATCACGTGAGGCGCCGAACAGCGTCCTGCCTGCACAGGTAGACTCAACGGGCGTGTCCGAAACGTATGGCGTGAAGAACAGAGGATGTGTTCATACAGAAACACATGTCAGCCTATCAGCAGAGAACTGGAGAGAGCAGTTAGAAACCGCCTACCTCTGAGGCAACTTCCTCTGGAAGAAGGTAAAAGTCATCTTGAGCCATGCTGTAGAGGTTGGTTGTGTGAAACTGGATCTTACTTAAATAATGATCAAACGTTTTGCTTTGATCATTACACAAATCTTGTACACCGCTGTGAGAAAGTATTGCTCCACTTTCTCCAGTTTTTACTATTTTCTGTCACTCCAAGACATCATCAAACCTATTTTATATCAGAAAAAAATGTGGGAAAACGTTTTTTTTCTTTTCATTTGCTAAATTTTGATCTGAATCTACATAACCTTTTTTGGTTCAGTTTTACAACCCACATCCAGACCTGATGATTGCCAGAACCAAACAGAACCTGTCTGGTAGAATGGATCATCTCAAAAAGCAGTTCATCATCTGCTTGGATTTGAAATAAACCCAACAACAGAGAAACAATGGAAGTGAAAGAGAAAACACAGAACAACGAGGAACAATCTAAGGAGTCGGTGCCTTTTGGAAGATAATGCTCAGTGTTTTATTACCCTCCACTTCACCCAAGTGTCCAAGAGGATCTTAAAAAAGTCCAACAATTGGGGCAGATATTGTTTAGATCACATATATTATGCACTGCAAAACTTTGTCAGTCTGATTCCCCCAACATATTACCATCAGATAGACAGACAGATAGACAGAGTCAGTTCTTAATGCTTCCTCTTTCATCCCTTCACTCACATCACAATTCAAATGCAGCTATTGCAAAATATTTACAAGCGCCTCAAACATGTGCTTCTTTAATTCTTTCGTATCGGAGCCCTGCAGCTGTGAGCAGGAATCTACCCAAGTAATTGTTGGCCAACTTCTGCATTTCATTACACATAAAGTATACTTCTGCATTTTCATTTTCTGTTGCTTCAAAGTACATACACACTGAAGCAGATATAAACAAAAATAATTTTATTAAGAGGTGTGATGCGCTATAAGTAAACAATGTTACAAGAAAACTGAATATAAAACTGCTTTCCTGTATGTTGTGAGGAAGTTGCAGTAGCCTAAACTGTCCACAAGAGGTCAAACTTCTCCACTAAACATTCCGTATGTTTTCATTTCCGGTCAGTGTGAATGTGTTGTATTCCTCTGCATTGTACAAATTATTTGAAATATTAAGTTTGTAAATGAACATGAAGAGGAAATTCTTTTAGATACAATCAGATACAATCTAGTTTTTTATGAAAGCTGAAATATGGTCCTATTTCCCTCTATATGGTTATGTATTTTAAACATAAATTCCTCCCACATTAAGTGGTAGCATAGTGATACTCTGTCTCAGTGACACATCATTTATGTATGAACTACATTTACATATAAATTATACTTCTCTTCCTTTCCCTTCCCTTTTTTAAAGCAAAACATCTCACAATCACAAAGTTGGGCTGTTTTAAGCAATCAGAGTGTTCAAATGAACCAAGTGGATAAAAGATCTATGACTTTTATTAAGTCATTTCTTCATCTGGAAAACAAAATATGAGCGAACAGGATAATACAAACATTCAACATACTACAGTCACAGGTGCATGCTCCAGGTTTGGTGTATGCACCTGTGACTGCAAATGACATACATGTCATTTTTAGTACACCTGCAATGGACATCATTTTTTTCCATTGTACTTTGGAATAAACCCCCAGCTCAGTCTGATTAGATGGAGAGCGCCTGCGGATAATCATTTTCAAGTCTTGCCACAATTGAAGAATCTGGACATTGACTTAGCCATTCTCATGCAGGAATACAGATTGATGTAAGCCAGTCTTTTTCAGCTATAGCTGTAATTTTTAGATAATTGTCCTGCTGGAAGGTTAATCTCCTCCACAGGCCCCTAAAAGTTATCTTCCAGGTTTGCTATCTGTAAGTCACTTTCTATAGATTGACTGCACACAGACTGATGTTCCCAAGCCTTTCAGATAAGATCCCTGAACAGTAATCAGTGACATGTTCAAAGCTTTGAATGTGGTTACAAAACCCAGCCTTCCTTTGAACTTATCCATGGTATTATGCCATGAGCTGCCTGGCTGATCTTTGCAACTTTTCTGATGCATTATGAAATTAAAATACACACATGACTTAATTTATTGATCTGGTAACTCTTAGAGGCAATTAGGTGCACTGGCTGGTAAATAAAAGCACAAGAGTAAAGGGGACTGGATACAAATGCCTGGCAGAGATTTTAAAAACAGCTGGTGAACCTTGTACCATTTTATGTCCTCTTCAAAAATCTATTTACAACACACATTTCAGTAAAAATACATCCTGGTTTTTCACCATGATGTGACAAAATGTGAACAAATATCAAACACCATGGAACTCCATAACTAACTCTTTTGCAAGCCATGAGTGACAGTTCTATGAGAATATTACAGATTTTTGTCATTTTAATCCTGTGCATATAGATATTAAGAATAACAATGAGCATTCAGAAGTTTGGATTTGGCTACAACATTTCAGACATCAGATGGGTTTAAAATTGTGAATTCACAAATCTTCAGTCTTGAATCTGTATATTGTAGACATCCTTCAGGCTATCTCTAATTTCATGTTCTGAAGAACAAAGCTTGTTTCATGTACATTGGAGTTAGTTAGATTGCAAACATAATGACTGACAACAATAAACTGGGTATGTGGAGACAGTGAATGACTGAAATCGAGGTCATATGCAGGGCAATGAGCAAATAAACAGAAGAGATAAAAGACAAGAAGCAAACAGCGTCTGTCTCTTTAAGAAGCTCCTGTTCTGCCTTCAGAACCTTCACAGGAGCTTTGCACTGAGAATTAGTTCATATGATGAGTGCAGCAGACTTGCAGTTCAACCAGGCGTTGTTAACTGATGTTGCCACTAGTCTGAAGGAGCCTGGTGCTGGGTGGGAGGAGCCTGGAGAGCAACTGGAGGAGCAGCTTTATGCAAACAGCAGCCAGACGGAGCCCTGAATGGCTGCCACAGGAAAGACTTTTTAAACATGCATGAAAGAATCACAGCAGAACTCCGGGGATATTTTCGATGAGGGAATAAACTAATAACTTGATATTAAGCTAAAAAAAGTCACTTTTACATACACTCCCTTTAAATAAAACCATAACCGTAGTTAATAATTAGTAGATCCTACTTCAGCCTGGGAGCAGGAAAACTGAAATGATCTGTGGAATTATTTTCTTTTTATTACTCTTCACCGCAGCTGCTTTTAGTTTTAAAAAAATCTTTTACCCGATACTGTCTGAAGTGTTTGTATGGCTTACTCCAGAAGTTTTCTTTACACAAGTGACATCTTCAGAACTTTGAGAACTAAAGAAGAGTTAGACTGAGATAGAAAGAAAAAAACCCACCAATTTATGGCTGACTCGCCAGAGTGAGATTGGCTAGAAGAAAAAGTGGAATGGGGGAAGGGACATAGATGGATGGGGAGAGGGAGGAAATTTAAAAGGGAGAAAAACCGGCTTTACAAAAGAGTGAGAGGCAGAATACGGAGAGACGAAAAGAGTGAATTAAAGAAAAAAAGTGGATGGTCTCAGAGTGAGAGGGAGTAACTGAGGTAGAGGGAGCTTTGGTGCCGCAGCGGGACCGACTGTCACACAAACTGTCAGCGAGGTCTTACTGGAGAGAGCAGCAGCTACTCCCCGTTAACACCAACAAACCGGAGGAAAAGACAAAAAGGAGGAAGAGGAAGGAATATTCAGGTTAAATTAACTGAGTCTGCTTTTTGCTTCCCGCCACCGTCTCCTCTGGACAGGATCTACCCCCCTCATCACCACCATCACTCCTCTTCATCACCTCCAGGTTTTAATCCCCTTCATCTTCAGCAGCTCGACCTCTCCTGCTCCTAAGCAGCATGCCGGGTTGGCGGCGGAACCTCACTTTTTGCCTGCAACGGATGCACGAGGAAGGTAGGAAAGCCAAACTAATGAATGCGCGCTGTGTTGGCGTCAGCGTGTTTGGATGCGGGCGCGTGTTGCAGTGCGCGTTTGCGCGCGGATAACGTGAGGTTTTAAGATCTGCGCTGAGATGTGAGCAGCTTGTTTCCGGAGTCACTTTGAATCTTTGCGCTTTCTGCTTCATGTGTCCAGACTTTTCTGCATCACTGGGAGTCTGCGTGCGCGCGCGCTCATGGTTTGCGCGCGCAGTCTGACTGAATAGCACCTGCAGCTTTGCGACCGTGCGTGTGTTAGTGTGTGAGAGAAAACGATTGTCTGTGAGTTTTGTGACTTCTGTTTGAGCGCGTGCACTGTCGCGCATGGTCTGTTGTAGCCGCGCGCGGTGCGCACACGTGTCAGGCCGGGTTTGTTCCGCCGTTTCAGCAGAGATGGCGCGAGGCTACAGATGCTGGCAGGTCATGGTGGCTGTGGTGCGTGTGCCAGTGTGTATGCTTGTGTAAAAGACGCCCGCACACGCACACAGTCTGCTTGTTGGCCCTGCAGCGTGAACACAGGGGGAGGCGGACAGAAAGGATGTTGGTCAGCTACAGTGTGCACGTGAGCGTGATGGTGCTAATTTGTGAGTGTGCAAATGAGAAAAC